CCAATTGAGATTAATTATGAGCCTTTGTTAGCCGGCCGGCGACTGACTCTCTACCACGCAGGGCTAGAGGAGATCAGCCCTGAGCTTTCAGAGCAGGCAGCTGATAAAGCTCAAGACCATATCCTGGTGGTCTCCTGAACAGGCCAGCAGATTACAGAAGTGGAAGTTGGCTTTTAGCATATCTTTGCCCGGAACAACACCCTTAATTAACAAGTAAATGGATTACAGAAGCAGACATTGGCCATCTACATATGTTATACAATACACTTCCTAAACCACACCCAAACAAGTAGGACAACTTCTGATATCTAAAGATATTTCTTCCCTGTAGCTGACTTAGCTCGTTTGCTCACATGAAAATTTTCCACCCTTAACAAGGCACAGTTTTTGTTTTGGTTTTTTTTTTGAAATTAATTATTTTTTATTATGGCAACATTGGTTAACGAAATCCAGTAGGTTTCAAGTGTACAGTTCAACAGTAAGGCGTGTATATATTGCGTTTTGTGTTCGACTTTTGCGATGAGAACTTTTAAGGTCTCCTCTTAGCAGCTTTCAACTATATGATACGATATTGTTAACTGCAGTCGCCAGGCAGCACCTTTCATCCCAGGGACACACTCCTTTTCTAACTGGAAGCCCGAAAACCCCCTCGACCCAGCCCGCCCCTCCCCCACCGCTGGCAGCTACCAGTCTGTTCTCTGCATCTTTGATTTCCGTTTTTGTTTTAGATTCCATACCTATGCGCGATCGTACAGTATTTGTATTTCACTCAGGATCACGCCCTCAGGTGCGTCCACTCTTGTCGCGGGTGGCAGGGTTTCCCTCCTGGTCACGGCTAACAGTCCGTGGTCTGGACGCAGCCCCTCTTTACCGAGTCCTCGTTGCTGGACGCGCAGGCTGTTGCGCATCTTGACTACCACAGACAATGCCACGGGGAACGTTGAGTACGGACATCTCTTCTAGAGGGCGACTCCATCTCCTTCAGATAAGTACCCAGAAGTGAGACCGTGGATCACCACGGCAGCTCCGTCTGCAGTGTTTGAGGAAGCTCCACTTTCCAGAGCGGCTGGGTGCGCCCGTTTCCTTCCCGCCAGCGGTGCACAAGGGCTCCCTTTTCTCTGCGTCCTCGTCGTTTGCTCTATAGATGATACATTGTGGCAGGTGTGAGGCGATATCTCATTGAGTCCTTTTTTTTATTTTTTACACCTACAGCACCCGGTCTTCCTAGGTGGTCTCCCATCCAAGTACTAACCAGGCCCGACCCTGCTTAGCTTCCGAGATCAGATGAGATCAGGCGCGTTCAGGGTGGCGTGGCCGTGGACTCATTGGGTTTTGATTTGCATTTCCCTGACGATTAGTGATGGGGTTAGGGTTAGGTTAGGGTTAGGGTTAGGGTTAGGGTACTTGTTGGTCATTTATATGTCTTCTTTGGAAAAAGGTCTATTAGTTTCTCTGCCCATCTTTAAATTGGATTGATTTTTTTTTTGGTTTCGTTTTGCTTTGAGTTTTATGACTTCTTTATATATTTTGGATATTAACCCCTTACCAATATCTGATTTGTAAATATTTTCTCCCGTTCCATAGGTTGTCTTTTTCATTTTGCTGATGGTTCCTTTTGCTTTGCAGAAGCTTTTTAGCTTGATATAGTCCCACTTGTTTATTTTTGCTTCTTAGTGTCAAATCCAAAAACAACAACAAAAAAATCATCGCCAAGACCGATGGCAAGGAGCTTACTGCCTATGTTTTCTTCTAGGAGCTTTTTGGTGCTAGGTCTTAGGTTCAAGTCTTTAATCCATTTTGAGTTGATTTGAAATATTCTTAAATGAACATTCAAGAAGCCAACTGAAGCTTCTTTCTTGTGCTCGGGTGGTTCCCATGGCTGCTGCTGCCCCTGAGCCAGTGATGCAGGGTGAGAAGCCAGGTGGCCCAAACAGGCTGTGATTTTTCCTAGCCAGATCTTCCAGAATGAAGGGGCAACCTTGGGCATGAGTGACAGATACAGACAGCTTTCAGTCACCCTGGGATGCAGGTGTTCATTTTCTGAGAAAATAGCATCTCCTGGCTCATGCTTGGAGTCGGCTAGCTAACGACTTAGAAAGCAGTACAGATCACACTACAGGTGGCACTTGCCTTGCTGGCTGTGTGCCAGGCTTACCCGTTGGGTTGGTTATCTGCATTGTCTCGTGCGATCCAGTTCCTCCCTTGCAGTCGGGTAGGAAGTTCTGTTAGGCTTCTTTTACAGACACGGGAAGTGGAGGCGTGACAGTTTTGGCAGCTTGCCCGGGTCACCCAGCTAGTAAGAGGGAAGCCAGGACCAACCTCAGTCTAACTGCCTCCGAGCTGCCAAATGGAGCCATTGGGCACTGCCAGGCGGAGGGTGGCGGAGCTCCATGGCCCAAGGTGGAGGGCGCCATCTCGGGGACACGTTGGCAGGCTGGGTGGCCCGCAGCTGGGTGCTGGGCATGCTGGAACCGTGGCCTGTCATTGCCTGTCAACTCTCTCTGGGCCTGAGGCTTCTGTGGACAGATTTCATCAGCCAGATGATTGTCTGGGAAAGTTCCAGGCCCCGTGGGGGCGGGGCACAGTGGGCAGCACCACAGTGGGGGCACCATGCTGGCTTGTTGGGGTTCCAGGGGCTTTCCCTCCACTGGCTGCCCACGCGAGGGCATGGTTTTTCCTCTTTGGGGAAATGCGGTGGCGTTTTAGTTCTTGACCCTGGGGAGCTCCTGGCCCTCAGTCCCAGGGACTTGGCTTCCTCTGGTGCCAGCAGGGAGCTCGCCAGGGGCATGTGGTGAGTGAGCTGGCAGATGTGTGCTGACAGGTCTCCGGGCTGTGATGCATTTCTGATCCTCAGGACTGAAGGTGGTGCTCTCAGAGATTTGTCCATTTTCCAAGTGGCCTCAACCTGTGTCCTCGTGCTCATTCAGCTCTGCCAGCTGTTTGGGGACCTGGGAACCAGGAGGGACAGGCATGTCAGGAGCCCCCATAACCATGCCAACACCTTGCTTCCTTTGCCAGAAATCCCCACCACCCCAGGCTCCAGGGGTAGGTCCCCCTCTCTGCCCTCCTCTCTCCCGAGGAAACAGCCCCCAGCCCCTTGTCTGGCCTGTCAGTGAGCACCCCACCCTGACTAAACACATGGAAGTTCTTTCTTCTCTGAGAGCCGTTGGATCCTCTGGAGGACCTCGTCCTCTCCCGGGGTTGTCACTGTTCCGAGCGCCGTCCTGTCCAGAGGCCTCATCCTGCCGCTTCTCTCCCCTCTGCCTAGGATCATGCGGCCAGACGATGCCAACATGGCCGGCAGTGTCCACGGAGGGACAATCCTGAAGATGATCGAGGAGGCGGGGGCCATCATCAGCACTCGGCACTGCAATAGCCAGAGTTCGGTAAGTGTCTGGGGCCACTCACCAGCCTGGAAGCGTCCGGCCCGTAGCCTGGTGTCCCGCTGTGCTCAGGGCTGCCCCACTGTTGGGTCAGGAAGGAGTTTGGGAGGAGGAGCCATCCCCTGGGCTCTAGGGCCTTCCGGAAGCTCCACAGCTCTGTTTGTGACCCCTGGGAATGGCGTTTGGTGTAGTGCTCAGCCAGGAAGGGTGGGGACTAAGCTGATAGCCTGCCAACAGCTGCCTCTTAACACTTCCCCTCCTGTCTGGAAGAGGCTTGGTTTCTGGAATCTTCCTGAAGTCCAGCCCTTACAGAGCCATGCCTGCATGGGCAGCAGACTGCCCCGGGCCCAGTCCCTCCCCTGCCCTACCCCTGGGTGGCAGTGGGCAGGTGCTGGTGCTGTGGCCCGTGGGGCCTCACAGACCCACATAGGCGTCCAGATGCCGAGGACAAGGGCAGGGCTTTCTGGGTTTAGGATGTCCAGGCAGCCATGGGGCGTGGCTCGTCATCTCCTGCCACGCCCACGGCCCCGAGGGTCCTGACATTTTCTCTGCGGGCCAGCCAGCATGAGAGAAGCCACCCTCGGGTGCTAGGGGAGGGGTCTGCCTTGTGCCACAGTTGCTAACTTGGGCCTAGCAGGACGTCTGTGGCCTCTGTGTGCCTGAGGCTTCTGCTAGCACCTGTTGTGCTGAGAGAGAGCGGTGTGTGTGCGCGTGCGCTCGCGCACACATGGGTGGACGTGGGCGTGGGGACCTCGGCTCAGAGAGGAATGGAAGTGGCCTGGGCCGGAAGGGGATGTGGAAGAGGGCCGCCCTGCCGCCCTCTGGGAGTTTGGTTTGATCCCAAGCCCAGCCGCGTCCAGTGCACCCTCTGGTGGCCATGGAGAGGATGTGCTTGGGCCTGAGGAGTGGGATGGAGGCCAAGTGCCTTGGTAGACTCTCTGAGGGACAGTGAGGGTCCCAGGCGGGCCTGGCAGGAGAGGCTGGACCTCTGGAGAAAAGCCCCAGGACGGGGGAGCGTGAGAGGGGGCGTTGGGAGCCAGCGGGAGACCATGCTGTAAGTCGCTGCAAGTTCTCACGCCACCCTAAGAGGCAGAGGGTGGTTTTACTATCCCCACTGCACAGATGGGGAAACCGAAGCACAGAGAGGTTGAACACTGGCCTGAAGCCACACGGGGAGGCAGGTGGTTGGTCTGGGTTGTAAATCCAGGCCTCGAACCCGTGCTGCGAGCCCCGGCTCCACCTCACTTCTCTGGGGGTACGAGGGGAACATGTTGGCTTGGCGATGCCTCTGGGCTGGTGGTGCAGGATAGTAATATGCACGTTCCAGGTCCAGGAGGGGCTTGTGGGCCCGAGGCAGCTCCTCCGAGGCAGGTGACTGGCTGCTGGCCTGGGGGCTGATGATTACCTTCAAGGGGCTTTGCTGGGGCTCTGGGCAGGGCAGGGGACACCCCCATGCACCCTCCCCTGGTGGTCTCACCCTGTCTGTGGTTTAGCACCATGATGTGGCCCCAAGTTCCAACTCCACCTGGACGCTAATTCGCCCCTTGACCTTGATGGGCCCAGAAAGACACTCCAGGCCTGCCCCCAGGCTGCCACCGCTGTGCTCTCTCTCTGCTTAGTTAAATGGCCTCTGTGGCCTCCAGTTACTCAGGCTCAAACCCAGAGCCTTTGTTGACCCTGTTCTTCCTCTCAACGCTGTGGACACTGGTGTCCAGTCCTGTTGGCTCCTTCTGCTGCGTATTTCCAGATCTGAGCGCTGCTGCCCAGGTGCGCTGCTGCCCAGGTACGCCGCCACCCAGTTCCAGCCACTGCCACATCTTGGCTGAATTACCAACAGCCTCGCAAGCGGTCTCCCTGCTTTGTCCCAGCCCGCCCCGTCTGTTCTCTAGCTTCAGCCGGAGAGACCCTTCAGCTATGAATGCCACTGAGACTGGCTGCCGTCTCACACAGGGTAGAAGCCTGAATACACGCAGGTCCCTGGCCCTGTCCCACCCTCCGCGCCCCTGCCCGGCTCCCAGTCCTCATCTACTCCTTGACACTCCCTTGGGCCGCACCGGCTCTCCTGCCCCAGGTCCTTCGCACTGGCTCGTCCCTCTGCCGGAGCTGCCCTTCACCAGACACCCGCACGGCCGCCCCCGCCTCCTTCTAGCCTGTGCGTGAACACGCCCTCTGCTCACGCCTTTCTGGTGCCCGGCTCCCCACTGCCGCCAGCTGTGGCTTCCCACAGCGCTGTCGCCCCTGCTGTGCACTTTGCTCATCTGTCTTTGGGCCCCGTGAGGGCAGGGACTTCTGCCCATTGACTCCCCACCGGGTGCTCAGCATCGGACTGTGAGCCACCTGCGGTCGCCGGAAGTTTGTGTCTGCAGTAGCCACCCGTGGGGTGCTTTTGATGGGCCAGGCACACGCCGAGTGCCCGGCCTTCCTTTCTGGGGGTGTCTCCCCAACAGTCTTGTTATCCCCACTCTGTAGGGCAGGAAATGGAGGCTTAGGAGTTAGGTAGCTTTCAAAGGCTGTGCAGGGCTGTGTCCTCTAAGTGGCGTGAGCCGAGGGTGGCCTGGGTGGGCACGGCGCCGGCGCACACACAGGATACAATCAGCACGAGCTGTTTCTGGACTCGTCCAGTTCGGTCACTTGCCTGCTGCCCACCCCTGTCCTCTCTGTACGTGACGTCTGGCAGCCGCCATTCAGTGTCTGTATTTTACAAGGAGACAGACATGGAGTGGAGGAGTCGCTGCCTCGGGTAGCGAGCTCGTCAGCGGAAGAGCTAGGATTCGAGCCCAGGACCCAGCACTGTCCTTTCTGGCTCTGCTTCTGAGGCTCTGGTCCTGGTTCGAAGCCCTGTGGCCACTCAGGAGCCCAGACCGTGCGGTTTGCCAGGGCACCTTCACCTAACGGGCAGCGCGGTGACGGCCACCTTTGGGAGCATGGCGGAGGGCGCTTCTTAGGGTAGATGGTGATCCAGACGCTGGCGGCTGTCCCCCAGGGTGGGGCTGCCCCTCCCGCCTTGAGCCCCGGATGCAGAGTTACAGGGCACGTGACGCACAGGAGCCAGAGTCGCTGGCAGCTCGGAGAGCCTCACAGCAAGTGCAAATGCAGGCTCGCCCCGCCTCCTCGCACCCCATAGATGAAGCGTTTTTACAAATTGAAGGCAAGGCCCGCCGCCAGCAGTTAGAGTATGACTCGCTCGGTTGGAACTGAACCCCCAGTGTCTGACGTGTACCTGCACCCGTCAGTCCATACTTTGAATTTTTGGATCGTACTGGTCTCTGGAACGCATGGGGCAGGCCTGGTGCCCTGCTAGGTCCTGGGAGACAGCAGCTCACAGTCAAGTTAGAGCCACCCTGGGTCCCGGGCCTGTGTCCTCACCTCAGCCGGACGTCAAGTCACCAGCAGCCCAGCCAGCTCTCAGAACAGCAAACACTCTGTCACAGGGTCACGTAATCACGAAACGAGAGCGTGGTGAGACTGTCTGCCCAGTAAACAGTGTTCTCTCCTGTAGTATTTTAAGCTGGGAGAGGACCAAGCTTAATGTTTATAAGTGGCCTTCTCCCCTGGAAGAGCAGGCACCAGGCTGTCCCCAGGTGTCTCTGTGCTTGGCCTGAAGGCTCTGGACAGGTCCGTGTTAAGAGCGTCCCTTGGGACAGCACTGAGAGGTTTCTATGTCCTCTGCCTCACGTCATTCCACCCGCGTTCAGGTTACAGAGGGAACACAAATGCCCTTTGCCAGAAATTCATGCAGCTCTGAAGTGTGCAGACTAAAAAGTGAGCCAGCCTGTTCCTGTGTCTCGTGGACGCCTCCCAGAGGGGCCTGGCCTGGCCCTGCTGACCTCCTGCCTGTGCCGTTCGCTGCTCGTCCTAGCACACAGCCCGGCCTCCAGTTCCCTCTGCAGGGTCTGCCTTGCCCTCCCTCTGCATGGGGTGCCCACACCCCCACACCTGTCACTTGACGCTTTGTCATTCAGGTCTCGGCTCCAATGCACCTTCCCTAGAGAGTCCACCCAGCCCCCTCATCTGAAGCTGTCCCCTACCAACACACGCCCTCTTTAGAGACCCACCACCGTGTGGCATTGCCCGGCGTAGGTCCTGATCGTCCGTTCCCCTGCCAGAGCCCAGGCTGGGCTCAGCACCTGGCTGCGTGAGTGCTGCGGGCAAAGGCTGCCTTCACAGCTGTGCACGGCTCGGGTCCTTCCAAGCCTCGGATGTGCAGGGGAGCGAGACATGGGCCACGTCCCCTGTAAAAGCATTAACGCGCGTGTCTGTGTTGTCTGCGTGCGGGCACACACACCACCACTCCCATGAAGACGGCAGTTCCGTGCGGCGTGGGTCCTGTAACAGCGCTCGGCCATTTCCCACCCCTCCACCGCGCTGCGTTTCCAGCGTTCTGCCAGTGGGTGGTGCTGTAGCCACACGAGTTTACTTAAAGCTGAGACACAGTCCCTGTGTTGTTTTCACATCAGGGTGTGTGTGTGTTGGGGCGAGGGGGACAAGCACACAGCACACGCCCTCACTGCCTGCCTTCTGAGACCTGACTTAGGGACGTCGACAGGAGAAGGAGCAGGAGCTATCCCAGAGCCTTGGTCTGCATGCCCAAGAATCACCTGGGGGGTGCAAACAGGGGTCCCTTACTGTTCCTCCACAGAGGCAGGTCATACAAGCTTGGGGTGGGCCAGGGGATTTGCACGTTTGCCAGGTACCAGGTGAGTTTTCGGGCGGGTGGGGGAGCTGCGTGTTGGTGTCATGGTGGCAGCAGGTGGCTGATGGCATGGCTCGGACGACAGTGGCCGGCAAGCCAGACTCTCCAGCCCTTGCAAAAGGGCTGCCGTGAGGGTTAACTGGGAAAGTGAATGCCGGGGCCGGCAAGGGGCTGACGGGCTCTCGAACTTGAACCCCGTCTCCTGGTCCTCGCTCCCTGCCTAGTCTTCGGGGCACGTCTCAGACGCGCACGTCCAACGCCCCGAAGAGATGATTGCTTTCGGGTAAGGTCATAAAAGCGTTACGTGCTCTGTTTGGCGGTGGAGAGCCAGTCTCCACTCGGGCACCAGGTGTCTCTCTCGTTAGCGCAGACGCACAGTGGACGCTGGTGCCGCAGGCGCCTCAGCCGCGTCGGGCGTTGCTGTCCTGTCACGTACTCTGGGGACACGTCACAGTGTCTGTCCCTTCCACCCAGGAAACAGTTCCCAGTACTGAGGACGGTGTAAGTGGGAGGTTGCCCATTGCAGAGTTATTCAGAATAAAAATGGGGGTTGACCTAAATCTCTACCGACAGAAGAATATTCGCTTCTATTTGGCCATTAACGCTGTTCGGAAATGGCGTGCTGGGAGGAGGCCGTCGTGGGAAATGCCGTGAAAGGCGTGAGGAAGTCCTTCACATTCTGGCCGGGGATGCGCGCCCCAGAGGGCTGTCGGGACCCCCCCGGTCGAACCCCAGTGTCGGAACCCCAGTGCCGGACACTCCCTGGCTCTGTCCCTCCACTACCGAGGGCGTCCTGGGTGGCGGGGACAAATGGCCAGAGGCAGACCTGAGACCCTTTCGTTCCTGTTGAATTTTGAGTCGTAAGGATAGATTGCTGTGTTGAAGGATAAATGAAATTTAAATGACAGAACAGCGATCGCTCAGGGCTCGTCATAACATGGCAGGTTAGTTTTCCTCCTGTCAGGTGAACAAAGCAGACCGTGGAAGAGTAAATTTAGCTTTCGTACAACTATGTAAGACTAAAACGGCAAAACAGAGATCAAGGCAGAGGAACAAATGAACCAGTAAAACCCCCATTTTTAGGGGGGAAAGCCTGAGAAGGAAGATCTCGAAATAGAAACAGTGCTGATCTTTGGATGGGAGGGGCGTTTTTCCTCCTTCCTCTACTTTTCTGTGTTTCCTGTGTTTTCCGTAACGTGTATGTGTGTCTCCTTTCACTTTTCATTATCCAAGTACTGCGTGTCTTTTGTAGAAACATTAGATCGAAGGAAAAAGCTGCTTCTGATCTCTCTCTGCCCAGCAGGGCTCCAGGGCGCGTATGGACACCTCCTGTGGCTTTGCACTTAGGACTGTGTGGTGTCAACGCGTCCCATCTCTTTCACAGTGGAGAAAAACCACGACAGTTCTGGGGGTGCATCTCCGGGGCGGGGGCCCCGCAGGCCGGGCTGACCTACACCCCTGTCTCTGCAGGAGCGCTGTGTGGCCGTCCTGGCCCGGGTGGAGCGCACCGACTTCCTGTCGCCCGTGTGCATCGGCGAGGTGGCGCACGTCAGCGCCGAGATCACCTACACGTCCAAGCACTCCGTGGAGGTCCAGGTCAACGTGATGTCCGAGAACATTGTCACAGGTACCCGTGCCAGTCGCCGGCTGACGCGTGATGGGCAGGTCCGAACACTGCCTGCCACGGCCTCCCGTCCTTCCCACCTCCGCCCTCACGCTGCGGGCGGGAACGGGGCGCAGGCCGGCTGAGCAGCCAGCCGAGGCCGTGTGCCCAGAGCAGGGCTTTGGCCTGGCCTTCGGGCTCTGGCCCTGAGTGTGCAGTTGCTGCCTGCCCTGCCTGCCGCCAGCTCGTGCCAGGCAGAGGGCGGGAGCAGCTGGGGGTCACAGGCGCCCTCTGGCCCCTCTGTTGCCTCTCCCCACCTGCCTCGCCCTACCTGCACCGCCCTACCTGCACCGTGGGGCTGCCCCGCCCTGCCCCCTGCC